ATAACAAAATACCAAATTTGGATAGAAACAGTAAGACATTAGAAACCTAAGTATGTCAAGCTCAAACAAAAATGACTAAGTTCAGTAAGGACAATTTACTTATATAGAAGAGAGAAGATATCAAATCCTACTTGGGTCAATGAAATGTGAAAATTACTGGAGATAACAAGAATATTATATAGTATGCACATATGCCAATTGCCAACAAATAGAATAGGTCAATAAGATCAGCGACATGCTGATCAAGAAATTGACAATAAATATGCCGATGGAAAGAACCAGGAAATAGATGGTTTTTTATTTTTTTGAGAATAAAATAAAATAGATTGTTAAATATTAGGGCATAAATAATGCATCAGCTCATACCTCTCGAAATGGGTATTCATCAGCTTCAAGCATTTGTACAACCTGACTCATCTTGGGCCGCTTGTCTGCATCAGGATCAACACATCTAAGAGCCACAAGAAGTGCACGCTTTAGTGCTCTTGTTGCGGGCTTAACTTCGAGGTTCGGGTCAACAACTTCCTCAGCTCTTCTTGTCCCTACCATCATCTTTAGCCACTCAACAAGATTTACCTGCAAAATTCTCAGAGTGATTACAAAAAATTGTAGCAGAAATAAGTACATTCATGATGGACAAACAAGAACAGAGGAGCTAAGACTTTATATGAAAACACATACTTCTATTGACAGTCACCAGATTTAAGAGCATACCTCATTAGCAGGTCGTCCGTAGTCTACCGGGTCCCTTCCAGTAACTGCTTCTAGCAGAAGGACGCCAAAGCTATAAATATCACTCTTCTCATTTAACAATCCTGTATTAGCATATTCTGGTGCTACATAGCTGAAATTCACATAAAAGCAACTTGCATTGGAAGATCTTGAACTCAACTAATTATCACTCAAGGTAGTTCAGCACTAACTTACCCAAATGTTCCCATAACTCTTGTTGTGATGTGACTCTCTCCAGAACCCAAGAGTTTGGCCAACCCAAAATCAGAAACCTTAGCGTTGAACTCACCATCAATCAAGATGTTGCTTGATTTTATGTCTCGGTGAACCACTTTTGGTTCTATTGCTTCATGCAAATACGCAAGCCTGCAATCAAGCAATGAATATATGAAACCACTTTTACATCTCCAAAATTTCCATTGAAAAATTAGAATTGTCAAAGTTCCAGTTCCGTCATTGATTACAACCATTAACATAATCAGAAAACAAGCCTTATCAAAAATTAAAATGAATTGAAATTCCCATTAAAAAATGTTCCTCTTTGAATAAGCTGCCAACATTCTGGGCAAAAAGACTTAAAATATCATCAATTTCAGAACCTTTAGTCCAACTGGGGTTGGATTCTGCTATATAAATATGCTTAACAAAGAAAAACACAGATGAGCAGCTTCAAGTTGAAAACTTGACTTACGCCTTGGCAGTACCAAGAATGACCTTCATGCGAGCATCCCAAGTCAGCATACCATGCTGCTGCATAGCACCGTGTAGCCATTGTTCTAAGTTGCCATTGCTCACATATTCATACACCAGCATCCTATATAACAAAAAATTGTGATCAGTATCTCACTCAATACACACTCACCAAAACTCAAATTGGAAAAATTGGCTTGACCTTAAAACATTATTTAGAATCAGACTAAGAGAACGTTTGATATTGTTATTCTTTTTATAAACAGAATTAAGTACTTACTCTAATTTTCGTGTTTACTCTAATTTTCGTGTTTGATAATATAGAAAAGCGACTTTGAGAAGGTAGAAAACAAGCACCTTATTTCTAAGTTTCTAGGTTTTTATTCTTTTACCTAATTAATTTACTTAATTACTCTTTTCATATCCTCTTAAAGTTAACAATGTATATGTAAAATAATATAAGCCCTAAATATTTTAATTAAACATACAGTTTTATCGATTTTTTTATAGAAAACAACAGTTTTTTTTTTCCTTTTGTGCGATGTCAAAAGGTCCTGATGTAGTGGGATCATTTGGATCGTTACAATCTCTAGCGGATGGTTTGAAATTGATTCTAAAACAACCTATTTCACCAAGTTGGTTGGACCTCTTCCTTTCTAAAATAGCTCCAGCAGCTACATTTATGTTAAGTCTGGTTGCTTGGGCCAGCCATAAAATACTCGTAATAAATATATAGTTCTATTAATTCTTGATCAAAAACTATAGATTACTTTTTTGGCAACAAGCACTTTATTTTATCGTGTAACTGTTTATTTTCTTAAATAAGAATTATCTGCTTTCTCTAACTCAAACACCTTCTAAACAGGATAATATCATTTTTGGGATTCGGCAGTTGAGAATTAAATCTTACCTATGGATTCCTTCTATGCAGTAGCCCAGAAGTCGCACAAGGTTCTTGTGTCGAACATGACCAATAGCCTCCACTTCAACTCGAAATTCCTTCTCAGCCTGTCCCCTAGAAACCAAGTTCATAATATAATTATTTAAGGAATTAAATAAGGCATCAACACAGGAAATAGGAAGCATCATTGAAGGTTCCGTACAGATTATTGAGAAGCTTCTTCACAGCTACCTCAGTTCCATTAATCAGCCTACCCCTGTAGACAACTCCATATCCACCCTCTCCGAGCACATTATCTGCTGCAAAACGATTTGTGGCGGACTCGAGATCTCTAAGAGTAAACCAGTGCCCCCACCCAAGATGTGAAATTTCTGGCAGACCAACTAAGGGAGAAGCCATCACAGGTCCTCCATACAACAATGAGGACTGCTTTCGAACAGTACCAGAACTTCCTTCTTCCCCTGACTGCGAGCTACATGCTCTCTCATGATGATGAATAGAGCTGCATTGGCTGGCATTGTCAGGGTCACTTGATTTACCCACCCCTAAATGAGATACCATCTTCTCTGTATTCTTCTCATTTGATTTATCATTGACTGTGACGAACAAACTGTCAGGTTGATCATTGTAACTCTGAACCCCAACCCTGTCAACCCTGATATCTTTTGAGACATTTGGTATTTGTGAAAGAGTAAACTTGTCTGTCAATCTTCTAGATTTTCTACGAAATGTTACCCACACTGATAAGATGCAAAGAATTAGAACTATAAATGCCCCAACAGATACACCAATCAAAACCCACAGTTTCAGACCCAAAATCGATGTCTTCTTTGATAATTCTGCATTGAGAGAACCCTCAGATGACATCTCCAATCTCCTAGATATCAATTGTCAAAATTGTGTCTGACCCTTCTCGCTATCCCCTATTGAAAACTTTAGCACATCACACCTGGGCATAAAAAACAAGGCATGGAACTTTCGGAAATGAATCAAACCGACTAAAACATATCTGAATTATTATGTTTTCAGAGGAGATTCCGGCATGTAATTATAGTTAGTCCAACACAATAAAAAAAGTAAACTTATCCAAATCCAACATTCAAATCCCTAAGGCAGGAAAAAATATACAATTTAGTTCAACATTGAAAACAAGATTCTTGACTTAGGCAGCGAGTATTGAAAAAGAATCAAATAAAAAAAAGAAGAAGAAAATCAACGTAGCATTTAGTGTGGTTCAAATAAATTTTCATGAACAGCTCATGGAGTAAATGGCAGCACAAAAACGAATTCTTTGACTGCCATTTGAGGCATTTATGAAATCAACAAAAGAAAGCACTTCAATGAGCATGCCATCCCAACAAAAACTTCACAAAACAAACTCGATCCCCCACAGAAAAACAAACCCAGTAGAAAAATACAGATTGGAAACAATGAAAAAAATAAAAAAGAAAAGAAAAGCATCACTTATGACCCAAGCAAGAGACAGATGGAAAAAAAAACAAAAAAATTGGGAATGCACTCAAAAAGAAAGGGGGAAAAAGGAACTGATCTGAGAAAACAAAGCATTTACCTTTTGGTGGAAATCGAAGTTAACCCCCTTGATCTTCTTCTTGCAGCAACCGCAGAAGTGAAAAAAGTAGTCTTTTCTGAAGCAATAGAGATTCAATTTGCATAGATAAGACAATGCTACACCTGAAATAACAAAAACCCTCAAAAACCCAGATGGCTAGAAATGTACGGATGCAATTTCAGAAGTAGTTTAGAAATAGAGGCTTTATGGCAAGTGGGCCAAACCAAAAAAAAAAAAACTTGTCAATGATTTCTTTTAAAAAAGAAGATATAGCAAAGAAAAGACAGACAAAAAATCCGATCTTTTTTAGGAGAAATGTATTACGAGCAGAGAGAAAATAATGTATGTGGACGATTAAAAAATATATTGAAGATCTTAGAAGGGTAAAAAGGCAGAGGTGGGTGAAGTGGTTGGTGGATCTTTGTGGGTTTGTGGAGGAGAGAGTGACCTGGAAGAAAAGATGGAAAGGAAGCTTGGCTTGCAATGGAGGAAACCAAAGGGAGAGAAACAGTAAAGGCAAAGCAAAAGGGTGCAGCTAACGAAAATGGCGTTTATGGCCGTGTGTAAAGAAAAAGAATATATACATATATATATATATATATATTCTCCCACACAATAAATAAAAAGAGTAGAGAGAGAGAGAGAGAGAGAGAGAGAGAGAGAGAGAGGGGGGCTGGGATTGGCGATTGGAGTCAACCCACGAGGAGGGAATTCCAAACTCCAAATCTTTAGCTTCTGCCGGGGCATGAGCTGCACTTACAAATGGAGAGAGACATAATTATGGGCTAAAATATAATTTTAATACTTATATTATTTATTTTTATCGAATTTGATACCTTCTTAATTTTATATTAAATTAGTTTTTATAAATTTAAAAAAAAAATTAATTTAATCCCTTATTTTTATTAACTATTAATTATATATTATATATTAAATTTATTTACACTTATTAATTTTTAATTAATTTAATTATAATTAAATATTAAATTAGATGTCACGTAATATTTAATATATTAAATTAAAAAAAATTAATTTTATTTATTCCTTCTCTTCTTCTCTTGTCACGCCGCTCTTTTCATCCCCTCTACCTTCCACAATCTAGCCCGTCTAACCATCACCCTTGCCCCGTCCGAGCATGCCCTCATTGCCACCTCCCTCGGCTCCCTCAATGTCGCCTCCTTTGCCTCTCTTTCTTACTCTCTCCTCATATTCGCCTCCTTCCACATCTTCCTCCATTAAAGAGTTCTTTATCGAGTTCGAGGACACCATCACCGTTGGCTTCTTAAAGCCCTCCCCATCCTCCTCCGTCGTATTTTTTTCAAATTTGCATTAGTTTTAATTAATTCAAAAATAAAATAATTTTTTTACACGTAATATTTAACATGATATTTAATTTATAATTCAATCTGTAACGGTCCTGGAAATTAAAAAGAAATTTATATATATTTATTATAAGTGCGAAAGCGAAATAAAATAGATTATGATTAACATCCCTTACACAATAACCAAAACAAATTAAACATATGAAAGAGTAAACTAACTTAAAGGAAATATTATGAATGATGCTATAGAAAACTAATAAATTCTTTGACTTCTACTCGTCGTCTTCCTGTAGAACGGGCTCGAGAACCAAGTCCTCATTGTAACGGTCTCAGAAATTAAAAGGAAATGTATATATATTTATTCTAAGTGTGGAAGTGAAATAAAATAAATTATTATTAACATCCCTTACACAATAACCAAAACGAATTAAACTATGAAAGAATAAACTAACTTAAAAGAAATACTATGAAAGAATACTGTAAGGAAAACTAAATAATTCTTTTACTTCTACTCGCCATCTTCCTGCAGAACGGGCTCGGGAATCAAATCCTCTTTATCTGAAATGGTTAAGTAAGGAATGAGCTACACTAACCCAGTAAAGACATCACACTATCTCACTGTCACAGAAGTAAAGGTTGGTAGAAAACGAAAAAGACCAATGAAGCATAATTTATAACAAACTTATTTATTAATAATAAAACTCCTTACTGTCCACCTACCTCGGTGAGATTCATGAAAACAATTACATCATAAATATCACAAGATCACGCACACTCTGCAACATAACACATATCATGCTTTTGTATTTCAATCATCAGGCAATAATTTTCCTCTTTATTAGTCTACTAGTATCCATGGGGATCCATAGGGTGTCCCCGCTACACGTGAACTGTTCACATTAATAATTTAATTCCAGGGCCGTCCTCATACCCCGTCTGGTATGGGCGCCAAAACCATAAACCTCAATACCCCGTCTGGTATGAGGGTGAAATAGGCCGTCTCATACTCGTCTGGTATGGGCGCCAAAACACATAAAGTCTCCATATCCCGTCCGATATGAGAGACCACGTTCCCGGTAAGGTTCCCTATGGACCCGGTCCGTTCCATCTCTCAGGATATCTAGTTAGGCTGTCGACATTATCCATTTATCAATTCACATACATTTTTTCATTTTTCTTAATCACAATTATCCAATCAAACATAAACACGTAAACTAGTAATGGACACCAAACAAGACAACACAATATCGGGTTCACAATAATTCAAATTATAATAAATGAATCCGTGATTCATGCATACGAAACCATAGAATAAACACATCAGGTACTATACTGCATTCAAAACTGCAAAATAAATCAAACAACACCTGACCCAAAAATACATCAAATTCGAGCTCCATTAGCAGTCTTAATTAATTATACATATCTATTAATTCATAAATTACCGTTTTATCATTTATTAAGCTTTAATGCTGTGATAGGAAATAGGGTGAGAGATCCTTACTTATTTAGGAGTCTGAAATCGGATTCTCACTGCGCCTACGGGCAGTCCCTAAATTCCCTGAATTTTTCTCCAGAACCTGAAACACACTTCCGGTACCTGCACATGTCCCCAAAAAATCTCAAATCAGACCTAGGGCCCTTTCGAAAAATTTTAAAATTCTGGCACGGTGGCTACGCCGCCCACGGTGGTGATCCGTTTCCGGCTGTTTTCGATCAAATTCGGCCAAACTTGCATTGGTTCCTGTGATAAAACACCCCTAGGGCCATCGATGGACCAAAAAATTTCAGAAAACTGAGACTTACCGGCGGTGAAGCTCTCGGGTACGGCGGCTCCTCCGGCGTAAGATGCGATTTGGTGTTTTGCTCCGGTCAACCTGTAAAGAAAAGGACAGTGGTCACAGTGGTATAAAAATCACATCGAACGGGAACCGGGAAGGGCCTCATAGGAAGCAAAAATCAAGAAAACTCGCGGCGGTGCCGCTGGATTTCGGCGGTGTTTTGCGGCCAATTGGCCAGTGGTTTGGCTCTGATTTGGCCACAGAGAGATTCAGCATCGAAAAACGAGCCAATGGGAGAAATTTTACCTCGTTTGGTGGCCGAAAAATCCTCCGGTGCGGCGGCGGGTGACGGCGGCCGGTTCCTCCGGTGGCTGGGTCGTCTTCTTCGGCGAGGGTTCTAGCGACTAGGGTTTGGGGTTGGATGTGTAACGACCCCGGAAAATATTAAAATGAAATGAGTATTTAAATATATCGAATGCGGAAGCGAGATCAAAATTTCATTTAACATCCCTTACACGAAAAACCAAAAACGTACTTAAAATATAAAAGATTAAACTAACTAAGAAAGAAACTCGAAAATAAAACTATGCGTATGACTACAGAGTCTCTAGGCATCCCCTTCGTCGTCCTCCTGCGGAACGGGCTCGGGAACCATGTCTTCCTGATCTGAAATGGTTAATTAAGGAGTGAGCTACACTAGCCCAGTAAGAACATCACGATATCTCACCGTCACGGAGATAAAGGTGGGTAAAAAACCACAAAAAGACCAATGGAGCATAATTTACAATAAACTCGTTTATTAACAACAAAACCTTTTATCAATAATAAAACTTTGACCATCCACTTACCTTGGTGGAATTTATGAAAACAATATGAGAAAAACAATAACATTATCATAATCATTGAATAATCTAAACTGTAAAACATAACACTTATCACGCCTCTTGTAATTCAATCATTGTACAACATATCTTTTTTTCTCATTTACCAGCCTACTAGTATCCGTGGGGGTCCATAGGGGTTCCGCTACCCGTTAACCTTTAACATTCATAATCAATTTCCAGGGCCGTCCCCATACCCCGTCCGGTATGGGCGCCAAAACCATGAACCTCAATACCCCGTCCGGTATGAGGGTGAAACGGGCCGTCCCCATACCCCGTCCGGTATGGGCGCCAAAACCATAAACCTCAATACCCCGTCCGGTATGAGGGTGAAACGGGCCGTCCCCATACCCCGTCCGGTATGGGCGCCAAAACCATAAGATCTCCATACCCCGTCCGGCATGTGAGACCACAATCCCGGTAGGGTTCCCTACGGACCCGGTCCGTCCACCATCTCCCAGGATATCTAGTCAGGCTGACCCCCATAATACAATTATCAGTTTACACAATCTTTCATTTTTCCTTTTCCTCAATCAGCATCATCAATTCACATTTAAACAAGCAAATCGTAATTCATACCAAACAGACAACATACAGTATCAGTTTTTCAGTCATTCAACCCATAATTAATAAAAACGTAGTACATGCACACAAATCTGTAAAATGAACACATCAAACCTCATTTTGCATTTAAAGCTGTAAACAGGCCAAATAACAGTAAACCACCAATCACACTAGACTCGGGCTCCATTAGCTACCTTAAGCAATTTCACACATGCATTAATTCAAGAAATACCGTTTTATCATTTTGAACTTTAATACCGTGATAGGAAATAAGGTGAGGGGTCCTTACTTGTTTTCGGGATCCGAATACGATTCACAGTGCGCCTGCAGGCTGTCCCTAATTTTCCCCTGAATTTTTCCCGGGGAACTGAAACACGCTCACAGTACCTGCACGGGTTCCAAAAAAATCCAAATTAGGTCCAGGGCCTCTTTCGGCCCAAATCGCAACTCCGGCACGGCGGCTCCGCCGTGCTGCGGCGACGGCGCCGCCGCTGGCGGCGGCGAGTCGCCTCGGGTTGACTGTTTTCGGCCGAATTCGGCCACTCTCGCATTGGTCCTTGTCAGAAAACAACCCTAGGGCCCTCGGGGGGCCAAAAAATCACGGAAAAACGGAGCTTACCGGCGGCGGCGCTCTCGGGTACGGCGACTCTCCAGCGAGGTTCGTGTTTTGGTGATTTGGCTTCGGTCAACCTGTAGAGAAAAGAATGGTGATCACGGTGATATAAAAATTGCATCGAACGGAGGCCGGGAAGGGCCTCGTCGGAGGCAAAAACCGAGAGGGGGCGCGGCGGTGCCGCTGGGCTTCGGCCGCGTATTCCGGCCGTTTGGCCGGGATTTCGGCTTCGATTTGGCCATAGGAGGAATCAGTGGGGAAAAACGAGTCGGGGGTATGAAATTTACCTCGATCGGCGGTCGAAAATTTCCCCGGTGCGGCGGCGAGTGGCGGCGGGTGGCGGCGGTCGGCCTCTGGTTCGTCTTCTCCGGCGAGCGGCTGGCGGCTAGGGTTTGTGGTCTGGTGTGGAGGTTCTATTTATAACCCCTTGCCTTTTGATCACAGCCGTTCATTTTGTTTTAATCTGGGCCGTTCGTTTTTGATTGAATCTGGGCCGTCCGTGCGATTGAATCTGGGCCGTCCGATCGCGTGATTGATCTGGGCCGTCGGATCGCACCCACGCGGATCGCCAGCGTGGCTCCTTTTGGAGTGACGCGGTCTTGCCACGTGGCAGGCCCTGGTTGGCCGGGACTGCTGACCGGGCCTGCTGACGTGGCTGCTGACGTGGCCGCCTTTTTTTTTTTTTTTTTTTTTTCCTCCTTTCCGGGTGCTACAGGATGTGGATGCGATTATTTATAACCTTCCCCTTTTAATCTAAGCCGTCCATCATGATTTAATTTGGACCGTTCGTGCGTGATCAAATCTTGGTCGTGCGCACGCTTGAGATCTGGGCCGTCCGTGCGCGCGGGAACGGATCTGGGCCGTCCGATCGTGCGCATGCGGATCGCCCACGTGGCTTCCCGCGTCAGCGTCCCTGCCACGCGGCGTGTCATGGTTGGCCGGGGCTGCTGACGTGACACTATTTTTTTAAATTGCGTTTTAACTTCTGGTTTTCGATTTTCTTTTCAAAAACACTCACAGAATTCAAATTTTCACTCATTTTTCCCAAAATCAATTTCAATTAAATCCCAAAAATAATTTTATCCTATTTTATTATTATTATTATTATTTCTATTAAATTAAATTATATCCTTATAAATTAAATATTAAAAATTCCAATAAAAAATTAAAATAAAGGAAAAATAAAAATAAAATAAAATAAAGGAAAATTTTGGGTGTTACACAATCAATCAGAAATTATCAAGTATTATATTTTAGCTAATAATAACGTTAACATATTTAAAAAAATTATCTTATTAAATATTAATATATATTTTTTTTCAAAAAACAATAGAAAGTAGATTTTGTTTCTTAAATCATATTAAAATAATTTTGATTATCCATAAAATAAAAATATAAAAGTATTTGCTAAGATAATTTTTTTAATTAATATAGTTTTACTTAAGATGTTTATATTTTTATCTAGCCAGTAAATACATATAATATTTTAAACTATTATATATATATATATATATATATATATATATATATATATATAATTAAGAATTATTAGCGCAATGTAGAGGGGTATAGTGGTAAAATCATAAGTCAAAGTAATTTATAAAACTACTAACTTATAAGTTAAAAGAAACAATAATTGTTTTTAGAATTCAAAGTTTATAATTTATTTACGTGTTTGACTAAAAAAAAAAAGAGAAACCAAACTCTCATTGCTTAATTTTAAATAAAAGAATTTCTCTTAATTTTTTTTTAAAAAAAATTATAAAAGTAAAATCTAGAAGTTCTTTAAACAAATACTTAAAGACAAAAGTATTATATATATAACGGCCCCGAAAATTCAAAAAAGAAATACATATAATTTTTTTCGGAAACTGAAACGCGCTTATGGTACCTACACATGTCCCAAATAATCCAAAAATTAGACCCAGGAGCTACTCGGTCAATTCCAAAATTCCGGCACGGCGGCTCCGTCGTGCTCCAGCAACGGCACTGCCGCTCGCGGAGGCGATCTGCTTCGGGTTGGCTGTTTTCGGCCGAATTCAGCCAAACTTGCATCGGTTCTTGTGAGAAAACACACTTAGGGCCCTCGGTGGGCTAAAAAATACAGAAAACCGAAACTTACCGGTGGTGGGGCTCTCCTGTGCGGCGGCTCGTCCTGTTCACGTCGCAGTTGGGTGTTTTGCTCCGGTCAACCTGTAGAGGAGAAAATAGTGATCACAATGATAGAAAAATCACATCGAACGGGAATCGAGAAGGGCCTCATTGGAGGCAAAAACTGAGACACCCCGCGACGGCGCAGCTGAGCTTCGGCGGCTTTTTCCGGCCAACTAGCCAGTGATTTCGCTCCGATTTGACCATAGGTGGGTTTCGAATCAAATTCTGAGCAAATGGTAGAATTTTTACCTCGTTTGGCGGCCAAAAATTGCTCCGATACGACGGCGGTGGCGGTGGTCGGTTCCCTGGCGGTTGGGCTATCTTCTCAGGCGAGGGACTCTGGCAGCTAGGGTTAGGGTTTGGGTACGGATGAGGTTATTTATACCCATCCACTTTTGATCTGAATCGTCCATCGCTTTTAATCTGTACCGTCTGATTGCGATTAAATAGGAAATAAATTTGGACCGTTTATTGCGATTCAATCTGGGCTGTCCATGCATGATTCAATCTGGACCATCCGTGTGCGATGCAATATGAGTCGTCCGTGCGCGATGCAATCTGGACCGTCCGTGCGTGTTTTTGATCTGGGTCGTCCGTGCGCGCGAGAACGGATCTCAGCCATTCAATCGCGCACACGCAGATCACCCACATGGCTCCCTCCCACGTGGCCTCCCGCGTTAGTGTCTTTGTCACCTGGTGCGTTCTGGTTGGCCGGGACTGCTGACCGGACAGCTGGCGTGGCACAACTTTTCTAAATTGCGTTTTGATCATCGATTTTTTATTTTTCTTTAAAAAATACCCAAAGAACTCAAATTTTTACTCATTTTTTCCAAAATTGTTTTCAATTAAATTCCTAAATAATTTTTTTACCCTTTTTATTATTATTTCTATTAAAATAAATTAAATTCTATTAATACTAAATTATATTTATATAGAATAAATTAAATTAAAATAAAATAAAATAATATAATAATAATAAAAATGAAAAGAAATTTTTTGGGTGTTACAATATATATATATATTATATTATATTAGTGGGAGTATTTTTAATTAAATTTATAAATTCCACAAAAGTGTAAGTATTTGTGGACAAGTTCTAATAAAATAAATAAAATATTTTGGCATGTCTTATAAGCCAAGCAACAAAAGTAGATTTTAATAACTTTATTATTATCATTATAAGCTATGAATTTATGAACCAATGAAAAAAAATTTATTTTAATGAAAATAAATAGTTTAAAAAACTATATATAATAGATATTTATTTTTGAAGACTTTAATAAAAAAATAAACTATAACAATGCATTTTACTTGAAACTTCAATTCTATACAATAAGAATAAAAATAAAATAAAATATAAATATTATAAAAAATTTTGATATTAATTTTATATTAATTCAAATTGTAATTTTTTTTTTTGGTTAATCAATTAAGAATGTGAACATAATTATATATTAAATATATATATAAATTATGAATTATTTCAATATAACAAATAAGTAATAAATAAGAATTTAATGAGTAAAATATCATTAATTATGATACCAGCCAAAGATTCAACCACAGTTGGATTACATGCATAGTTGTTAGTGAAATAAACAGTGTAATCAGATCTAATTACAAAAATCTTTTACATAATAACTTATTAAAAGAGAACTAAACATGCTTTTAATCCAAGAAAATGCAAATCCAGTGTTAAACTCCCTAAGAATCTGTGAGAAAAACGGATTAAACAATTTATAAAACTACTCCAGGATACCATAAATTATAACTTCTACAGTTTACAGGTTGTTTAATGTAATCGAACTTCATTGAAATGGAACTGGAATACCATGCTTCTTGTTCACAATAGCCATTGCTAGATACCGTGTGCCCATCCCGATTGGTGCCTGGTGCTCCGGTCCCTCCCAAAATGGAGCTTCACCTTCACCCACCAGACGCCAGTATCCCATTCTCAGAGACTCTGCTTGCTCGACGCTACAGTTCTCCAGCAGTGATTCTACTCGGAAGTTTATTCCCATAGCCCCAAGAAACTGGGACTGAGTAATTGGACCATAAACAGCTATATCTTCTGCATCCGCGTTCGAATATTTTTTGAAATTAATTCAGTTTTTATTGACATTGATTTCCCCTATGAATTTAGATTATGGAAAACACTGATGCACCCATAGTGAGATGCAATATGCACAGCTTTGGGGGAAAAGAAATACTATAATTGAGAGTATAAGATAAGAATATGCACCTGATGCTTCCTCAGCAGAGTGCATTACCGATGGGAAATCAACATATGCACTAAGATCAGCGGTCCCAGGATTGTCCAGTATGTTGACAAAATTATGTTTTCGGATTGCCTGCACCAATGTAATGTTGGCAGAATAAGACCAGGAAAAAAGTAAAACAAGCATCCGAAATTAGGCTGATCCTACGGAGCATAAAGGCTTAACATGAATGTCTTATCAAGCTAAAATAAGATCCTAGTTATTCCAAAACACCAACAAGCATATTTCATTCATGTTGTACTCTGTGGATAAGATTTTTGTAGGAAAGAAAAAAAGACTTTCGTTATCTTTGGTTCAACTTAATTCTATTCCCGTTTAGTTCATGTATTTCAATTATTTTATAAAGTTAATCATAATTACATATTTGGTACATAATTAAATCAACTTCATTTATGTCTTCAATTCCAACCATTAATTATATTCCCAGCTGTCAAGCATGAATCACAAAAGAACCTGAGATGAATTGCACCTGGAATTAACTAGGGATTATATACTATTTCTTACAAATTTCTATATCATTTATATTTTATTCTTCCTATTCAATAAAATTTTATCTTGAACTAAATTCAAACTGATAGAAAATGGATGTAAACTATTAAGCAATAGCAGAAATATGCAAAGATTATCTAAGCAATAGAAAATTCTCCACTAAATGAACAGTGAAAAGGAATCAGACCTGCAGACTATCTGAAACTACTCCATTCAGCCCATAATCAATTATAAGAGCCCCACCTCCATCAGAACCTATCCTCTTGGCAATAGAATTAGTCAAATCCATTGCCTTGGGGCAAACCTCAATCTGTTCAAGTTTTTCTACTTCTTCAGGCACAGCCCACTTACAGCGTTTCATCAGATAGAGACTTGCAGGTGTAGGCTGGGGTGATAAAACAAAATGAAACCTAACCAATATATGAGAAATATTAATTCCTTTTCTTCTTAAAAAAATTAGAAACATCAAATTTCTAGGTTTCTTTAGAGTATTTATGTGCATTTGTGTTCTCGTGCTTTCTGCATGCATGTGTCTGGGCATGCGCAAAATAGAGAAACATAAAGAAATAAATGCTGCGCTATATTGTTCAGTCCTTACGATGAATCTTCAGCAACATCAATCATTTTCTCACGCCAGCCGCGAGAAGCCCTCTGCATATAAATTATCTTATCAGAATGATGCACATGACATCAAGGAGTTTTACATATGTGTATATTATACTATATATCTACACACACATTATACATCTCTCTGCGCATATGTACAAATACACACATGCATACATACAGAAGATGGCTATTTCCATCTAGGAAAGAAAGATGAATAGGAAATCCGTATATCTGGATCCAGCTGTCAAGTTAGTGCCTTCAACAATTGATGAACAAAAGTAAGAAAAATAGCAACTTTTACAACTCTAAATTGTTGATGACTACAGAACCCAGTTACACCATCACACACTGAAAATCAACAAATTGAATTATCTTATCATGATTAATGTAAAAGGTGCCGAAGAATTTTCATAGCACATGGTGATGATACCATCTACTAGTGCAACAAAGTTATAGACAGAAATGATAAGGTATCGCAAACATAACACAAGACTATTTTTCTTACTTAGAAGTTAAAACATGTCAAGTAGTTAATATATCAAAGAATTTCACAAGCAGACACTAATAAAAAGAAATGCAACAAATATATGGACATCCAATTGATATTAACCAGACAAACCTGAAATTGATGAACTGGTAGGGCATCATAAAATTCATGGGCAATGATTATTGTTGGTGCTGGAAAAACAAGAAAACTAATGTCAAGAGAAAAAGTTAACATTTTTTTATTCATAAGACAAAAGGATAAAAAAAATAGAATCCTCTTAACATTCAGTTAAATAGAGGATTTGTCTGGAAAAAGAAAA